CCGGCAAAACTGTCCCTCAAATATGATGGTGAAATTAGGAGATTTCCAGATAAGCAGAAACTAAGGGAACTGATTAGAACCAGACCAACCTTACAAGAGATACTAAAGGGAGTCCTTTGAACAGAGAAACAAAAATAGCAAGTAAGAACCAACCATTAATACAGAAAATGACATAACCCAGAAACTACAGCTATGGACATAGCCAAAGTAGCATAAGCTGACAAGATTGTGAACAGGGAACCAGAGACATCAATTGGCAAGTGAGGACAACTATAAACAAAAAGAGGGAAAACACTGCGTAGTTACAGAACTTCTACATGGTGAGGAAGTCAAGTGAGTTGCAAGACAGAATGGATTGTTCTAATCTCAGGGAGAAAACTGTAAATCACAGGGCAACTTCAAAGAAAAATGAGAAACTTTCACATTACAATAAAAAAAAGGACAAGCACAAATATTCAGCAAATACTAATACAACAGCCAGCAACAAAGGAAATGATAACACGATTCATAAACATAATGACCTCAGCACAGAAGATAATATGGAAGAAATCACGGATACCATGAGAAAACACATAACAAAATGACAGCAACCAATTCATACTTGTCAATAATTACGCTGAATGTTAACGGATTAAATGCACCAGACAGAGAGTTTCAGATTGGATAAGAAAACAAAACCTATCAATATGCTGTCTGTAAGAGACACACCTTAGGGACAAACACCAAAATAGACTAAAAATCAAAGGTTGGAAAAAGATATTATCAAGCAAATGGCAACTGTAAAAGAGCAGGAGTGGCAATATTAATTCCTGATCAAATTGACTTAAAAGACAAAAACCACCATATGAGACAAGGAAGGACATTATATAATGATAAAAGGGTCAATTGAACATGAAGATAAAACCATAGTAAGTATCTAGGGGCCCAATGAAAGAGCCCCAAAATACATAAATCAGACTTTAAAAGAGTTGAAAAGGCAACCAGATAACTCCACAGTCATAGTGGGAGACATTAACACACCACTTTAAATGAAAGACAGAACAACTGGAAAGAAACTCAACAAAGATGCAGAAGAGTTAAACAATACAATCCACCAACTTGACCTTATAGACATCTACAGAGCACTTCACCCAACAATATCACTATATACATTCTTTTCCAGTGCACATGGAACATTTTGCATGACAGACCTTATGTTAAGCCATAAAGCAAGCCTTCATAAATTTAAAAACATTGAAATAATGCAAAGCATCTTCTTATCATAATGCCATCAAATTAGAAATCAACAATAGGAAAATCAACAGAAAAAGACTAAACACATGGAAACTGAACAACACCTTCCTTAAGAAAGACTGAGAAAAGAAGAAATAAAAATTGAAATTCAAAAATTCCTTTAATCAAACAAGAATGAAAATACAACATACCAAAATCTT